CATTTTCTCCTCGTCCTCCTCTTCGTCCTCGTTCTGTGCCTCCTTCTCCTCTGCCTCCTCCTCCTGCGTCCCCCCTCTTGCTCCTCCTCCTTCTCTTCCTTCTCGTCCTCTTTGTCGTCGTCCCTCTCCTAATACACCTCCTCATCTTTAGTACTTCGCATCGGCCTCCAGCGTTCAGTCCCCCGCGTTCCTCCTCCTCTCCTCCTCCTCCTCCTCCTCCTCCCCTCCCGTCATCGTCAGCACTTTCACCGCATGCCCGACCATATCTCCTCACACCCCTCACACGGGTCGTGGCCCCATATGCAGCTCCACCGAAGGCTCCTGTGGCTGCGTCCGCATGGCACCTCCGTCCGCCCGGCCCGAGCGCGCAGGCGAAAGTAAAACGCCACAGGCCAAAAACCCAGGTCACGATTCCTTCTTTGGGCCCCAGAACGCCACAGGCAAAAACCCAGGTCACGATTCCTTCTTTGGGCTTCAGGAGCGCCACTGACGCGGAGGAGAGCAGGGGAGCACTTCCTCTACACGCGCGCGCTCTCGGCAAGACCCGGAGGCCCGACGCGCAAGGCAAAAAAAAAACGCCACAGGCAAAAACCCAGGTCGCGATTCCTTCTTTGGGCCCCAGGAGCGCCACAGGCAAAAACCCTGGTCGCGATTCCTTTTGTGAGCCAGGCCGAGGGAAGCGGAGGAGCACCCCCCCGCCCGGCGCGCGCGCCCCGGCCAGTGCCCCGGGGACCCGACGCGCAAGGCAAAAAAAAAAGCGCCACAGGCAAAACAAATCGTTTTTACCTGTAAAGTTTTTTTTGCCTTGCGCGTTGCAGCCGGAGGTCTACGCAGGGCTCGCTGCCCCCCCGGCTCCTGCTGCGCAGCCGCGGGCTCAGCCGAGCGGTCGCGCCCATGGGCGACGGCGCTCCCGTGGCCGGAGCGGAGGTGGTGGCCGAGATGTGTGCGATGATGGCGGCCCTCCCGCACCAGGCCCCTTGTGCTGCCGCTGGCGGCCCCCCCGCGGGAGGCCCAAGTGCCTCGTCGCGACGCTCCTCAACTGTTCGAGGGCGAGGCCGCTCGCCGGGGGATTCGCTGCGCGACCTGCAGAGCTTCGCGACGCGAGCCCCTCCCGCCCCGCAGCGGGTGCAGGCCAAGACGGGCACTCCCGTCTCTGCCCTGGCGGCAGCATGGGGGGCTTCGCGACCCGCGAGCGCGTCGGCCAAGGCCCCGCCGCCTCTGGTCACGCTGCCAGGGGGGCTACCTCCAGGGCTCCCCGCCCGCGGCTGGGGGCCCGCTGTCGCCGAGGAGGCCGCCGCGGCGGGGCCCTCGGACCCAGCTGCGACCCCGCCGTCGACGCTGGACCTCGCGCTGGCGTGTCTGCGAGAGGCTCCCGCGCGTCAGCAGGGCCCTCGGGCGACGCCCCACCCTCCACTGGACTCGCTCACCGAGCAGCCGCCTTCGCAGCAGGGCCCCGAGGAATCGCGCGAAGTCGCGAGTTGCAGCGTGCGCTCATTCAGCACGGGCCTCGAGTCAGCGAGCTCATGGAAGAGAATCTGGCCCGTGCTCTCGGGATTTGCCTGGAAGATGTGACGGCCATGGCTATGTTCCAGTACTTTCGGGAGCAGAGTCCTCTGGGCAGTCAGACGTCGGCCCACGAGCTGCCGACTCATTTCGCGTGGCCGAGTGCCGAGTTCTGGCGAGCCGGCGAAGAAGGAGACGCGGGGCGCGCCCAGACCCTGCTGTCTTGCCAGTGCATGTCCGTGGATCCGCTGGCTGGGGATCGCGGGCGCCTCGAGGCGGCGTGGCTTCTGACGGGCTTGGGGGGCCCTCCGACGCGCGTGGCGCGCCGGCGCGCGGAACGAGAGGCTCACGGCCCGTTCTCGCCGCTAGTGGATCCGCGCTAGCTGTCGGCCCACTGGCCATTTTGGCTTTCTCTGCTCCGCCCCCTCGGCCGCTGCAGCCGCCGGGAGTGCCGGGGCAGGGCGAGGTCGCGCAGGTGCGAGTGCGCTTTTCCAGCGAGGGCGTTGCGCCGCCGCAGGGGATGTGTCGTTCGGCCAGCGCGATTTCTGCTCGTCAGCTCCTGGTGCAGTTGCTTCCATGGACCCCCCTGGTCCGTCTGCCCTCGGCGACGCCTCCGCGGGCGTCGAGCCGACGACCCCTGTCGCCGCGATTGGGAAGTCTTCGAGGCGCGCGACCGTGGTTATCCTCGGGCGGGCCTGATTCAGCACCCGGGGGAACGCGCCCGCGGCGTGGCCCACAAGGTCGTCGCGGGGGCCGAGGTCGACGGACGGATCGGGATCGTGTGCGCTCCCTTCGTTCGCGCGGTCGCCCCCTGCAGGCTGACTTTCATCCAAGTCTACCTTGGCTCCTCGACGCGTGCCCTCATGGCGCCTAGGTGTGTCTGTTCCGCCGTCCTATGCTT